TTAAAGACCTGTTGAGTTGTTTTGTCAATCTCTGTTCCGAGCGTTTTTTCTGTTCATGTGACTGGAGATCGATAGGGGTGATTCCACTAGTTACTAGAATTGGTGGTACGGATACAGTTCGGTATGTAGATAACTATTACTTTTTTTAGTTTTAAAACTGGTTATTTTTAATTACAATTATTGAAACTGAAATGATCTCAATTGTTTTAAATATTTAAAATTATATTTAAATAATAATAGATTGAATACTCCATCCTTCACCTTCGTTTCGTTTTAAAGCAATTTTAATTTAAATGGCATATGAAAGTTTCTTTTTGTTTAAATTAATTTATTAATGTTTCACTCCTTGGCTGTTTGTCGTATCTTTTCCGTTTCCAAGGATAAAATCTGTGAATTTTTCATTTTGGCATTATTGTTTTGCTTTTGTCATAAACGGAAATTGCCTGTTTTATTAATTTTAACCAAAAGTAATCGTTGCAGAAAACTTAAACAATAGTTTCGCCAGGAAAGTCAAATTAAAAACGCACTTAGCATTAAAAATAATTTAATTAAAAGTTCTCATTCACTTTAAGCAAAAACTGTGCTCCTTTTTACATTTTTATTTAAAATGCAGCGGAGTGCGAGTAGTGCCCTTTCGTATGCTAAATAAAATAAAATAAAACAAAATAAAATAATATAATAAAAACAAAAATAAAAACGCAAAATTCAGAAAACAAAATTCTTCTGAACAAAGCCTTTTAATTGTATTAGTACCTAAGAGAGAAAAAAATGTATAGTCATTGGGGCATTTTCTGACCCTCATAGAAATAAGGACATACAAAATATGAACCACAAATTTTCGGAACTCATATAAAATTTAATTAAAGCCAACCAAAATGCCTGAAGGGAAAACATTTGATACTTATTTTTATTATTTTTTTCAATCTATACGAATTGTATATATTATACTAAAGAATTAGATAAATTCTTCTAGCGCAGAGATAGTGAGGCTATATTCGCTTCAAGGTGGAAGTTAATTTTCAGCAATTTCTTGTCTTCTCAACAATTTGCAATACTTTTTACTTCGTTAATCAAAGGCTCTTTGACAATTTATTTTTGTTGATTATCACAACAACGACGACATTATCAGTAGCAGCAAGGATAACAGCAGCAACAACAGCAGCAACAACAGCAGTGACAACAACAGTGGCAGCAACAGCATTTAATTGCATTTATGTACTCTTATTACTACAAACACATAGACTACATATAATTATAGTTTAGTTAAGTAAAGTTTTATCCTTTACTGCGATTTTAATTGCAGCTTCTCTCCAAAGTGAACTTGTGCAGATGGCGTTCACCAGCGCACGTTGCCATGCCTTTGGAAGCTGTTGGAGGCATTGGAGGATAAATGAACACAACTGCTGCATTAGCAATGTAAAAATGCTAAGTTGGGCAAACTATTGAAGCGTGATTATTCAATCAAATTTCGTTTAAGTTCTCGTACTTCCTTTGTTTCTCTCCTTTTGTTATTTAAGTTTTATGCGGAAAATAATATGAAATTGGAATTCTGTATTCATTTAGTAGCCCTAAGTGAAATACTTTTATAGGGTTTTCAGTTAAATGTATGCCAATGAGCGTTGCAAACGATGGAAATAATTTAAATCATGTGATATGCAAATTTATTCATGAAAAAAAATTTTCTTCGATATTTCTTGCATTTATAATTAAAAAGCTTTATTTTAAAAATTATTAAAAAAAATTATCACGCCTTATGAGCTCATTTAAATAATTTCTGATAATATAATCAAAAGTCTAACTACGTATTTTAAGAAAAAAAAAAACATAACCTATGCAATGTTGTGATTCATAGCAAACTATTGTTTGGATTATAAAACATAAAACCTTTATAGTTAAATTTTTCTATTTTTCAATTTTCACTTCCTTACATAGATTAGAAAGTATTATAAAATTTTTAACTCTTTCTTTTTAATTTTTGTTGAACTAATTAAATTTGTAAGTAGCTTTTGACCTTAATGTAGTAATGGAATTGGCTGAATTCAACTGAGTACAAGTGTTTCTTTTGAGTATAAGTACTGAAACTTCAAACAGTAATCAAGCACTTAATTATTCCATTATTTAAACTTGGTACTTGTGTATTTTAATTACATTAGTCTGGCACTAATTTCATTTACCAGTTTTGCACCACCATTGCTACCAGCAAATAATTTAAATATTTGAGTAACACTAGATAAATTAACTAGAAAATACATTTTTTAAGTGTCGATTAATTCGTTGACTTAGGCTTTTTGCTGCTTTAATTTGATTCCTCAACACATGAACAATTTTCCTTAGTTTATTAGTTGTAAATAATTGACAATAAACAATAGTGTTTACTCCTTCTGTACTTCTAGGATAGTATTAAAAGACAAATCCCTGTGCTCTACTAAAAACATATTACACAATAATACTTTAGACTCCATTATAGTAATTAAAAAGTTGTACGATCCAAACTTAGTACCACTTGAATTAATAACAATGCATTTAAATAGCCACAGTTGGTGTTTATGGAGCCATTAAAAAAATAAAATAAATAACTTGAAGAGGCTACTGAAAACAACTAAAAACAACTAATGTACATAATTAATGTAATTATTAAGTAGGATTAAATTATGTTAAGTGTAATAGGTTTATAAGAAACCCGAAGTAAAATAAAAAAAAATTTTTTTATAATCTTTTAAGAATGTTTTGATCTAGTTCTCTGTTTACTGTGAAACCCAAATCAACTGCAACTTTTAGGAACACTTTATTTTTTTGATGAAAATCAAATTTATGAAATTATAAAAAATTATAAAATTATAAAAAAAATTATAAAAAAAAAATAGCATAAGGTTTTAAATAAATATTGAATTGGTTCTAAATTATTTGTTTTTCTGTGGGTCTGAGTCACAAAAATGAGCTCTATATTGCTGATATAACAATCTGAGCAAACCAGTCATTCATACCGAAAAGTATTTTTGAATACGTTAGCAATCGTTAAAATTAAAATCAAATTTATAAAATTATAAAAAATTATAAAATTATAAAAAAAATTATAAAAAAAAATAGCATAAGGTTTTAAATAAATATTGAATTGGTTCTAAATTATTTGTTTTTCTATGGGTCTGAGTCACAAAAATGAGCTCTATATTGCTGATATAACAATCTGAGCAAACCAGTCATTCATATCGAAAAGTATTTTTGAATACGTCAGCAATCGTATTCTTAGTGTTGATCTTGGTCTGCTCTTGATTGAATCTGAGCAAATCAGTCATTCACACCGAGTATCAATGACTGAGTATATTATCAATCATATTTCTTAGTGTTGAACTTAGTTTGCAAAGTGCCCCATACCACATGATGAGTGATTTTTCATCTAGAGACTGTGGACGACTGTTGATATGAATTAAGAGTGTACTATGGTTCTAGTCGTTTGTCAAATGAGTGATATATTAAACGAATTTGAATCTTAGAAAATAAATTCATTTATATGAAAAAGTTTTTTAAGGTACTTAAGAAATAATATTTTATTACTGACTTATTTACCATTCGATGATGAACTACTATTGAAACGAAGTCTTGTTTTTTAGTTACTGTTTAATTCCAATACTTTGTGTCACTGTGTAGAAACTCAAAATACATGATTCTCTACATTTTCAGAGCACATTTTCAAACTTTATCTCTGTAAATAGTTTTTTTGACCATAAAGTCACGGTACAAAAACAACAAGTGAAAGAGACTAATAAACTTTCCGGTTCTTAAACTATTGCAAATGATGGTGCTTTTTTAATCTTGTGGTAATGCGAAGGCTTAAATTATCGTATGACCTTTGTTGGAAGTAAGTTCGAACATTTTGTTTGTCATTTCGAACTTTTTTTTTCATCATAGAAATCGATGTTCTGCAATTGTTCATATTCGTGGAAGTATAAGAGTTGCCTTTTTCAATCAGGCATAGTTATTTTTTGCATATTGCTGTCCTGTCATTTTTGGATTTTGTCTATTTTCAAGTCAATATTTAATGCATAGCTCGTTTTGAATTGTTCAGCTTAGTAGTCATTTCATTTCATTACAGGGGCTCCATTTATTTATGGCTTTTTATATCACATTGGCTATAGTTAATCCTTTTTTCCTGCAGTTTTATTCTAGTGCTTCGCTCAATAGTGTCAGTTTCTCTATATTTTCTTCCATTAATTTTCTCAATAAATTCAGTTTCCGAATACTGTGTTGTGGTGCGAAATAAGAAAAATTGTGTCCCACTGAGTATTTCCAAGACATAACAGAAGTCTTTCAGAAGCCTCATTCAAGACTTTTCTCTCAATTACAGGGCTATTGCTTATGAATGCTGAAGTTATGTTGCCGATAATAATTTTTCCAAAGAACTTAAACTCAAATGTTTGTTAATAAAAATCAATAAAATAAGTTGTTCTTAAAAGAATATAGACTCAGTGTTGCTAGCAGTTCTGAGAGTAGGACAAATTTGGTTACAGTTCAATTGGGCCATAGTGTAAGCACTTCTTATTTAATTTTGTAAAAATAAATTGATATTAACACTTAAAAAAAGTGTGGCATGAAATCTGATACAGTATTTTTACAAAATCCAAATGGTTCCAAAAATAGACAAATTATACTTAGTTTCATCAATTTCAAGTATAGTAATATAGTCTCAAATGGTTTTCTTATAAGTATCTCACAAATCTAATTTATTTTTTATTTCAGATGACATATACCCACGCAAATTTAAACGATATTAAATAAAGCCTATAAAAAACAAGGAAGAAGCCAATTACACAAATGTCGAAATGGTCAATAAACAAAGAATGGCTTAACAACTTAAAAATCTAAGAAAAAAAGTTGTAAATAAAAATTGTTCGAAAATGTGAGGAAAAATTAAGTAAAAATGGGAAAGACGACCAAATAGCGAATGTAAACATATCATTCTTGACATATTGATGACAATATCCAAAATTAAATCTGAAGGCAATTTTTATTAATTGAGTTTGAAAAGTCCTGCTGTTTCCTATTTGAGCACCACCGCCCGAATAGATAAATCGAGGGTGGGAAAATAAACAAAAACAAATCAAAACAGAAAATGTCCAAACAAAAAATGTGCCACTTAATGAACCATAAAGTTCGATATCTATAGGCGACCATTAGCAGTGTAATAAAAACCAACAGGCGAAGGAAGTAACCAACCAATGAAGCAAGCGGTTCGTGGTTTCACACAAGAAGGCAATTACTTTCAATGTCAACCACCGTTGACAATTTAAGCAGCACTCAATACCACAAAATAACACTCGAAACCACTGTGTTCTGGCGCATAAAAGTGGGAGCAAATTTTTTTTCCAATTAATTTATCGTTTAGTGTGCCATCCAAATAGATACATTTTAACCATATGTATAGGCACTTACATACATAGTGCTATACATAAACGTGTAGGAGAAGCGTGGAATATATAGTTAAGCAAGGACACCGAACAAGAAGACCAGATGAGAATGCTGCCGACAACAATGAACCGTTGCCGAAATTGGTTCTGTGCGCGCAATAATAATAACGACTATGCTGAGGTTTCAATTAATGACGCAACTGCTTCCACACATCATGCTGTTGCAACACCAGATTTCATTAAAGATCACCAACCATCTACAGCGACTACCGCAACAACGGCTACTACAGCCACTACTGGTACGGGAGCTGGAACAGGCATTATTGGCGGTGGCGGTAATGCACATGTCGTCACTTTTCTCGATGATGTGCCGAGCGGCAATAACGGCATAGTTAGCACAACAAGTCGCTTAATAACCAATTCGGAATTAAACGCTCAAGCAATGGATAACAATTCGGATGCTATTGAGCCGATGGACGATTTTGCATGTACTTCCGGTTCATTGTTGTGTGATGAAAATGCGCCATCATCGAAAAATTGCTATCGTCTGGTAATGTTAGGGTAAGTATACAAATACGATAAACTAAATTCCAATTAAGAATGATTTCAGTTCGAGCTTTATTAAATCATCTCATATTTGGCATCATCCTTTGTTGAAAATGTGCAGAGATACAGAAATAATTAAACGGATATAAGCAGCCTTTATCCCAGATTAGTTGAATACATTTCATTATTTTTCTGTTAAAGATTGTGGCTCGCAATTTGCTTCAATTCAATTGATTCCTTGTTGAATTCCTTTTTAATAATTTCAATTGATTCCACCCGTCATGTTGCTGTCATGTTACTCCCCCAGTATCATTAAAAAACAAAGGCAAGTAAAATTGATTATCCTTCATTGCATATTAAGCACAACCGTGGAATAAATCCACTTAAAGCACCACAACTCCAACTACGTGCGCGCTCGATGTGAGTGATTCCAAATTAATTAAGTAGATTATTTTAATTATTGAAAGCAAAGTATACACTGAAAAAATTGCTTAATGCTTTATAAATAAACAGAGTATTTGCAGGCTTTTTAAGCTTAATTCAGTAACCTTTTGTTAATTACATTTTAATATATACTGTACACATATTGTTGATATTTCATTTAAAAATTACTCTCAAATAAATGAAAAAGGTTAATACTTGGGCGTTTTCGATTCTGCCTTAAATGGCATGTATTATATGAGAACGGATTAGAGAGCAGTTATATTAAAGGTTATATTGTTATGGAGTAGTTTAACCTTTATTTGTTGGCATATATGTTAGTATGATATTTATAAAACATTTAAATTATAAATAAATTTAAAACATAAATATGATTTTATAAGTCATCTTTAGTCTGTTGTCTATATTTTAGGAAATAAATAGTCTTATCCATAAGATTTCTATTATTTACTCATATTGAATAAATATTTTATTGATTTATAATTTATTATTATTAACAAAGTTATAACGTTATTGAAACTTACATCTAATTTAAATAATAGGAGCTATCGCTATATGGCCTTAAGCTTGACTTATATATTGTGTAGACTGGTCTAATACCTTTCGCCTTCTTTCTGCCAGTAATATGATTCTTAGTTAAAAAAATTTTTGGTTCTTGAATAACAAAAAACTGATCCGAGATTTTTTCTATTCGTTCGAAGCAGTCACAGTTACAGTTTAAAAACTTTTATAGAGACTGAAGTAAATAATAAGTATACTATTCAAAGTAGTATCTGACATTATTTTGGTGCAACACTTTACCTGTACTAACGATGAATTTTGTTTAAGAGAATGATTAAATAATAAGTATATCACATCTAAAGTGGGATTTAACATTGTCTTGGTGAGACACTATACCTGTTCTATCAATTAATTTTGTTTAAGCGAATCATTTGCTTTGACCAGATAATGACTGTACGTTTAAGAATTGATCGTTATATAGTCCGATAGAAGCTCAAAAAAACAGATAATTCTTTGCAAATCAACCCAAATAGATATTATCACCTTCCTTTGTTGAATACCGGGTTTTAAAGAGTTTTAAATCAGTTTATTTTTTTAGCTCCTTATGTAATTGCATTTAACATTGTTGTTGTCATCTATTTCTTGACCCCAGTAATAATGCTCGTTAAAAATGAATAA